GGATCAGAAACAATGAACGGTCCTGATTAAATATGATCATACGTCGCCGTTTGGTTTAGTGAAGGATCTGAACTGGACCGTTAGATCAATTTGATCAACGGTTCAGATAAACATACCAATACGGTGTCGTTGATTGTATGGGAATCACCTGAATGGGTACCATCAGAACGACGTAGCTTCTGCCCTATACTACGTCGTTTGATGTCTTTCGGGTTGACAGATCTGGGCTGGGTAAGTGCATTGTTTTGGGCCTGATATTTTTTAATTAAATGGCCCAGTCCATTTTTTTTCTATTATTTTCTCACTCTTTTCATGTTCTAATTTTGTTCCTAATTATTAAATTCCTAATTTTAATTATAAAAACAAAATTACCCTTACAAAAAATATTAATTACTTTTTAACAACTATTAACACATAAACAAAACATTAATCATACAATGACATAATTAAATGATGAAAAATAAAATAAATGCATATTTTTGTGATTTTCTTTTTGAATTTAATCAATTCTTAAATGCATAATTAAATCCTAAATATGCATGCAACATGTATTTTTATTTTATTTTTTCATTTAACTATAACAAAGTAAACATTTACGGACACAACACAAATAATTAATAAATGCCACATAAATTCTAAATATTGCACACAAAGAAAATAATTATTTGTGATTTCTTTTGGAATAGTTCTTGTGAGGCAAAAATCACGTGCTCACAGGTACTGAAACTAGTTAGGGCAGGATACTACTGGCCTCGTATGGAATAGGACGCAAAGACGTTCGTATAAAAATGCGACAAGTTCAAAAGCTATGCGCAATTGGTACACCAACCGGTAGAGTCCACCATCGTCGGGTTCAGAAAGGTAAGTTTTTTTTATTTTAACTGATTATTTCACTAAGTGGGTTGAATCAAGTCCTTACCAAAAGATCGGTAAGCGCGAAGTGATCAACTTCATATGGAAATACATAATTTGTCGGTTCAGAATATCGAAGGGGATTGCCTACGATAACAAACAGCGGTTTGTAGGCTCCAAACTCACAAAATTTCTCAAAGATTTGAAAATCAAAAAATTGCCTCCTCACCATACCATCCGAACGCTAATGGACAGATGAAATCAACCAATAAGGTAATTATCCAAAACCTCAAAAAGAGATTAGAAGCTACTAAAGGCAAGTGGCCCGAAGAGTTATCGGGCGTGCTATGGGTGTACCGTACGACGGCAAAATCAAGCACGGGAGAGACACCCTTCTCTCTCGTATATGGCATAGAAGCTTTGATCCTGGTGGAAGTAGGGGAACCAACCTTACGGTTTTCCCAAGCCATGAAGAAACAAATAACAAGGCATTGTTGATAAAGCTGGATCTACTGGATGAACACAGGACTTGGCACACATTAGGATGGTGGCTTAGAAGTAGAGGATGGAACGATACTACAATCGGAGAGCCAATCTTCGCTACTTTAAAGTAGGAGACTTGGTTTTGAGGAAAGTGACTCAGAACACTCGGGAAATCAATGTTGGGAAACTGGGTCCAATGTGGGAAGGCCCTTACTAGGTTTCAGATATCACTGGTAAAGGATCATACGAGCTAGAGAATCAAGATGGAGTCAAATTGCCCAGCATTGGAATGTGGCTCACCTTAAAAGGTATTACAGCTGATGGATCCTAACTATACTGAAAGTATGTGCTGCACTCTTTTTCCCTTCGACCAGTATTTTTCCTAATATGGTTTTTCTGGCAAGATTTTTAAATAGGTAGTAACAGAAAACATACTATGAAGAAAACGTCATCAGCAAAGTTAAGACCTTTAACTGACAAGGAACTGAAATAACAAGCCGCTACGGGATGGTTAGATAATCTTTGGCTCGCGGGAAAAGTTCCTAACGGGAAATAAAGCTTGCAATCGAACCAAAGATTGTTCAATTGTTCACAAGTATTTTTCCTCAAAGGACCAAGACTTCAAGTATTCCAATTCGTATACTTCGCATTAGAAAACTAGGAGGAATAATATGAGAATGCATCAACATGATTGCCACAAAAACTGAGACTACGAGACATGGAAACAATAGTCTTATCGAGATCGGGGACTACACGACCATCTTCGTAAAAATAAGATGTACAAGTTAGCCACATGTATTGGAAATTTTCTTTTCAACAAACGAATGCTTATGTACCTTTAAAGATAGAAGAAATAAAATGAAGTCCTTTTATTTTTATCTTGTTTCTTGTCCAAAGGATGAATTGATTTTATCATTAGAAAGTTAACTAAAAACTTCGAATGCTTGTGCCAGAATGAACATGAGACGTCCTTTTCAAGAGCACTTTAAACATAAGAGGGACCTCTCTTATGAAACCTTCATAGTAAAGGGCTGGTTCCGGAAGTGTTTATGCCGGAACCTAAAAGCTATTGGAAGAAAATACACCCGATGATTTATCTAATTCGACGCAAAAAGAATGAACTTTGCGCAATACTTAAGCAAAAAGTCTTCTTTATTTATCAACATGCCAAACGGCATAAGTACAAAAGAACAAAAGTAAAACAACAGAAAAAAGGAAAAATTTAAACATCATTGCTACTAGAACTCAGGGGAAGATTAGGCATCTTCCCCCCTCCCCCTCCCCCCCGGGAGAGGTGGGCAGATCTGTCGTTGGTGCGGGATCTGGGCCTTCATCAGCATTCTCGTCAAGTTCTTCCTCAGTTTCTGAATACTCGAAATTGGTACTTGAAGCGTCAGTTGAGGCGGGCTGAGCTGGGAGATGTTCTCGAGCAGTTAACTCCAACGCATGGGCCTTTGCGATTTCATCATCAATATCAATGACCCCCACTTTAGCCTCCTCCAAGGTTTTCCTCCTCATATGGTACATTGAATATGTCTTTTCAAAGACGAGGGAATCCCCTTGGTGTGGGAGCTTTGACTTGAGTCTGTCAACCTCGGCTAAAAGTTCATCCCTCTCAGGCCTTGTGGCGCCAAGTCTAAGATCAATATCACGGGTTGTAGATATGTGAAACCGGTTCCGATCAACAATCTTCTTACACCTCTCTTCCATTTGGACTCTTTTTTCCTTGGCAGCAGTAGCTTCTTCAGCTTTAGAGTTCAAGGCTGCCTCCAAATTATTCACTTGTTCAATGGAGGCAGACTTGCGCTCGGCAGCAGCAAGCACATCATCTTGGACCTCAGCCTATTTAGCCTTAGCCTCTTGAAACTGTACATTTAGCCGAGTGGCTTCTTGGCTAAAGGCCATCAGTTCCTGGTTGCTCAGCTGCAACCGGACCTCGAGCTCGCTTACCTCAGAAGCCTTTGCCTCTAACACCGGGAAGTGAGCAGCAATTCAGTCCCTCTTGGACAATAGCTGATCCTGGTCAGACATGAGTCCCTCTTTATCGAGGATCAATCTCTGAAAGCCCTCGGCAGCAAGGAAGTTGGCCTGCAAAACGTATATCAAATTAAGAAACCCTGTTATAACAGATGAATAAAGAACAAGCAGTAAGAGAACAAGTACGGTACCGCTGCCACATTGTGTATGGCATTATTCAACATACACTCCCCCGAAAAGGAATGTATTTTCTACTTATCTTTTTCTGAAGCCAACTACTTCAAATAGTTGGAAACCTCCACAGGCCTGAACAACAGATGTCACTCCTTTGAAATCGAGAGAGTGACACTCTTTTTCCCTCAGTGGATCTAGAGAAGGGGGTGAGTATTTGTGCCCCAAATTCTCATGGTCAGGGGACTGGGGAGGAGAAACATTCTCTTCTTGGGCGTCTATGGCCGGTGAAAGAGGTGCAACGGATGCTGATGACGATGGTGTAGCTGGTGTAGAGGGGCGCAAAGTTATAGGCGTTGAAGGTTGAGAAGTGGATGCAACGAGAGCAACGTCGATTATTGGTTGCTTATTAACCGAAGGCAAAGCATATCTGGTGTCCATGCTCCTGAGACCGTAAAAAGAAATAGGGGTTGGGAAGAGAGAACCAACATCCTCTACTATTTCCATTTCACCCCAAAGTGCTTGAACCTCGCCTTCAGTTGGGGTTCTAAGCTCTCCAGATTGAGCATTTTGTTGAGCTGATGAAGATCGTTATCTCCTTAGAAGGGAAGCCTCTTCATCTCTGCTTCCTCATCATCTTCGATGACCACTGTAGTCGGGGTCGGTCCGGTTATAGCCTTCCTTATTTTATTATTTTTACTCCTAGCCGAAGAAGAACACTACAACAAAAAGGCTTTTAGCGGCAATTAAAATTCTTTATAGCAACAATAGAAATGGCCGCAAAAATGTTTACCGGCAATTAGTTATTAGCCGTTGAAGCTAGCGTCGGCAAAGGCTTTAGTGTCCATTTGTCTAAATGTTGGTAAATGGCCATATCATGCCGGTAAAAGTCCTTTAGTTTTAGTGGCAAATATTACTAGCAATTATAATGGATACTAAAACTCAGCAAAAATTCCATAAGCCCTACATTTTGCAGCTTTTATTATTACCGCTAAAAGTAAATTTAATATCCGGTAAAAAGAACCCTTTTTGGAAGCAAATATAATAGCCGCTAAAGCTATACTTGAAATCCATCTTTATTCATTTATTTAATTGCTTTTATTATTGTCGATAAAAGTTCATTTAATTGCTATAGCAATGACATTTTAGAAACTTTTCTTATTGCCACTAACTATTAAGAAAGAGTTTTTCCATCATTGTTAGTTGATGCCTGGTATTCTTATTAACCTTAAAAATGAATATTCTCTTCAAAGATGTTAATGCACTTCAATAATCCGCAACAACCGAAATTATTAATCCAAAAATCGGAAGTGTCAACAACATAAAAAATGCTAACCTATTTAAATCTAACACCTAGTGTCATTTTGCATCTAACAAGTTATTTTATCAAGTAGCTATATACAATAAGCGACATAGAAAGATTCTCCAACTCTTGATCATAATGTAATCAACCATGAGCGAAGATTTTGACCACCATAATGTATGACTTGAAATAACAAATAAAATAAATATAAATAAATAACCACATATGAAGTTCATTAATAGTCAGGAAAATAATTGTCTGGTGTTTACATACATATATACTAGCGTATCAAGGAATTGCTACTACAAAATCCCATCAAAATCAAATGTACAAGAAGTTTGTTGTTAATGGTTTTTTCTCAAAACATATATATGTACTTGAAGATCTCAAAGTAGCATAGGCTCAGAATCAACTTCACAAATACATTTAAATGAATATTTGCCAAACAGCCTTACACGAGCATGTTCTAAAAGGTCCCAATATTTTTCATTGGGTTTACAGATTTCTCGAGTCTATTTGTTCATAACAATACCAATCCAATAAGTAGATAGTACAAATATGTGGAGCAATTACTGTTTTTGTCTACTAGAATGGACATATTCACGTTTCTTTTTAGAAAAAAAAAAAGAAGCCCAGAGAAATATGCAAACCCCAAAGACCTGACAAGGATGCAAAAGTGATATTTTACTCCAGTTTCAAGATTCTACTCCTCTGCTTGCTATTAAAGAGGAACACGAAGATAGAGACCAAAGATTGTGTCACACAAATATTTACAGATAAAATGCTAATATACATAGTAATCTCTCCTTACATTTTCATGTTATATTCACATAATTCACACCTAGTAAAATTAATGATAAAAATAAATATATAATTTTTTTCTAAAAACCATCGCAATACAACTAAACTCAAAATGAATTAAGTCCTTCTTATTGATAGGAATATGAACACACATTTCCTGAAGTTCACTGGAAAACAAGATCGATTGTTTCTACCTCTATCTCTTCTCTTATAAGAACCTTCAAATTCGTTTCTCAATATTAAGTTCACAGGACCTGCCAAAAAAATTAGGTGGTTCTCACATGATTAAGACTTAAAGTTTTACAAAAGATGCTAGAATGAATTTCTAATAGTGGATCTAAAGAAATGTTGTTGATAGTCTCTTTTGGTGGTGAAGGTGCTGGAGTACTATCAAGGTATTAAAGTTTGGATATGTGGAGAAGCCTAAATATCTTCTCGTTCAAAATAATCTACATGTTTAAGGTTTGATTATTATCTTTGGAATTATGATTGCCAAATCTCGTAAGATACCATTTTGAAAGTCCCTAATGCCTCCAACTAGTTGGTGATCAAACAACAATATTTGGCAGTTCAAATATTGTAATTTCAACCAAATTAAAATAGGAGTCTTCCTACACAAGGTAGTTTAAGAAAAATGGACTAATAGTTCAGACTAGCGTAAAGAGATATAAAGACCACTAACAACACATTGATTTTTACCTTTTCTAAACATAAGGTAGCAATTATTAGCAACACAAAGAACCTATTTTGCATAGTTCATACTATTTGCTTTCTATGCGTTCTCAACAATTTCAAGAACAAAGATTAGCAAAATATAGATTCAAATATGAAACGAAGAAGAAATTGTTACTTTAAAATGGCATCCCTGGCGCTTGTACTATTTGTTTTGCTAACTAACTTCTCCTATCCTATGTTTCTTGAGCTCTCTTATTCTCAAGATTCTGGGGTTATCACAAATAAAGGAGAAGCTACCGTCGATAGTCAGATATTCTAACAAAAAATTAAGACTTCAATTCTAATTGCAAGAACAAGTATGAAAACTCATCTCATAAAAACTGCAGAAAAAAGAACCGGAGTTCATTGTTACATGAATAAGGGCTAATCAGAAAGAAAAGGAACTACATGTGATACTTGGAGCAGAAAATTAAATTTTTATATTGGTAAACAATACATGAAAATGAAGTCAAAGACGTTATTTAACAAGAAATAGCGATCAACTGCTATATGTTGTTCCATTGATTCCAAATGTGAAGTAATACCACAACTAACTAGAGAGAATGAATGTAGGGTAGTCATAAACAAGATACAAGAAACTTACCTTGATTCTATGATAATGGTTCCATCCAACCTTTGATGAAAGCTTGCCCAAAATAGTATGTATGTCCTGTCTCGAGCCTCAATATCCTAGACAAGAAGAGGTAGTATATCCGTATAAAAAAATAATACTGTGTGTAGACTAATATTAAGTGCATCGGAAATGATCATTCTCTTTATCTTGTCGTATGTGGATGGAACACCTTCATAAATTAATTACGAGTATTGCGCTGCAACTTACTTTAGCATATTTTGCTATGTATAGACTAACATTTGTATCGTTAGATCTAGTTACAAGAAATCTGGAAAATAAACTAAAAAGTATGTTTATTCTAATTTAAAATAAAAAATCTAAGTGATTTAAGTAGAGAAAGAACCAGATAATCAATAAATGTGAGTTGTGTTGTACTCTATCCCCTTTTCTTCAATCTCTGTGTGCTTTTAATATGATGTTGTTCTAAGCAACTCTATTTGTGATATTTCTTTTCTTGTTTTCGCTGTCTATTATGTTGTAACAGTATCGCTACTTTATAGACACATATCAAAGTTTTACTTTAATGAAGAGTTTAACTATTTTTAAATATTTGGAGGATATAATATTGGTCATCCAAGTTTACTACACGTTGAAAGAATCTACTCATATCTTCATCGTGCAGTTTCCCCCTCATTTTTCGATTCTTATTCAAAGTTGAAGTAGAATTAATCTAAATATGTATCTACTTACGAGAATTAATATCAACTTACACCTAATTCTTTTTTCTCAACTTTCATTCCAATCATGATAAACCCAGCAAAACTATAATGCCAATCATACGTCTAAAGAAAGGTGAGACCCGGTTATCTTAAATGGAAAGAACAGGCATACCATGTTTATAAAATAATCCTATATGTTTCATAATATACTTCTTGTACAGAAGATTCACTAGAAATATCTCACCTTTCACACAAAACTCTTTTTCTTTCTGTTCTCTCGCCCTTTTCTCTAAATTCATATTCCTAGTTCCCTAATCTTCAATTAATAACCCACTACATGTAATAAGGAGTAATCCAATTACCCTCGATAATTTACAGTTAAAATATTAGGGTTAATTGCAAAAATAAGATATTAGATATGTGGGAGAACAATCATCATCTTCTTCATACGTACTAGACAATCCTAATCATCTCAACAAAGCCAAAATTAAGATAAGTTGTCTTACCGTGAGATGGTAGCGGCAATGTGAACGGTGGCTGAGCAGCGGCGATGAGACTCTTTACCTAGGGATGGATGGTGACGATCGATGGTGAGACAAAGAAGGCACGATGGCAGCAAAAAGTTACTTTGGTATGGTGGCCAACTATAACAAGAAGAGGGCAGCGGCAAGGATAAACTTTATTTGTATTTTTGAAATATTTTCTAATTTTTTTTAACTTCGTTGTTGATTAGAAATAGAGGGAATAGGTGATTTTAGTGGAAAAAATCAAAGGAAAAGCTAAAATGATACTGGCAGCTTTCAAGAAATGTCTTTTGGTGGTCATACATATTTATCGCCACTTAAAAGGTAACCAATACCGACTAATTCACAATTGCCACTACTATTCGGATTTTTGGAATTATTTACTGGCCATTAGCTTATTGCTGCTAATTAATTATCACTAAAAGTCCTTTTTGTTGTAGTGGAACGACGCCTTTTTGGTTGCTTGTTCTCTGTCCAGGGACTCCGAAAAGAAGTGCCCCCACCGGAGGCAGATCCGAGGGCATCGCTCTGAGTAAGAGCATCTTGCAGCAACCTCACAGCCTCTGAAGGATCAGCCAAGACATCGACCTCGAGATAGGTGACAGAGCCCACCGAAAGTCCTGAATCAAGCAAAAGATATAATTAGCAAATTTATCTATGTCCATATAGAAGCAAAAGGAAGAAGGATTTAATTTACCATGATTCTAGGCCTTCCAATCGTATTTAGGAGCCATCTCTTTCCACCTACGGGTTTTTGGTGTTGTAATAGCCATAATCTTCTGGACCCATTGGTCCAGGCCTTGAACCCTTGGTGGTGTCCACTGAGCAGCTAAAACAACGAGAATAAAGAGGTCATCAATAACAGGGAACAATTCTTTTTTATGAAGGAAAAAATGAAATACGAGCATACGTGAACGGTTCCATGATTTAGGAAAGGATGGAGTCGTGACCGAGATGATATCCCTGGTAGCAATGATGATAAACCACTCCATCCATCCGCGTTCACCGTCATTATCCACGCTAGTAAGAAGAGCGTGGTGGCCACGTTTACTGAAATTTATTTCTCTCCTACAAA